ACTGAGGCAGAGAATCACTTGAACCCGGGAAGCACGGGTTACAGTGAGCTGAGGTTGCACCACTACACTCCAGCCTGGGTGACAGAGCAAGACTCTGTCTCCAAAAGAAAAGAAAAAAAAAGTCACTGTACGATTATGCATTGTATTTTCTTTTTACTTCTATGTGGTTGGTAGTTATGCCCCTACTTTCATTTTTTATTTTAGTTGTTTGTGTCTTCTGGGGTTTTTTTTTCCCCTCTTAGTTCAGTAGAAGGATTGTCAATTTTGCTGATCTTTATAAAGAACCGATTTTTAGTTTTGTTAATTTGCATTATTGATTTTCTATTCTCAGTTTTATTTCTACGCACTCCAATCTGTATTCTTTCTTTCCTTCTGCTGGCTCTTGGTTTAATTTGCTTTTCTTTTTATAGTTCCTTGTAGTGTCAAGTTGGGTTATTGGCTTGAGATCATTGGTTTTTAGTATAATAGACATTTATGGGTAAAATTTCCACTGGAGCACTGCTTTCATTGACTCCCATACATTTTGGTATGTTGTTTTCATTTTCATTTGTCTCAAAGTATTTAGTCTTCCCATTTTCATTTGTTTCAAAGTATTTAGTCTTCCTGTGATTATTTCTTTCAGTCACTGGTGATTTAAGAGTGTTTTGTTTAATTTCCACATATTTGTGAAACTTGCAGTTTTCTTCCTATTATTGACTTCTTGGTTCATTCCCTTGTGGTTAAAGAAGATACTTTGTATGATTTCAGTGTTTTAAAACTTTTTAAGACTTGTTTTTTGGCCCAGCTTATAATCTGTCTTGGAAAGTGTTCCATATACACTTGAGAAAAATGTGTATTCTGCTGTTGTTGAGTGTTCTGTACACGCCTGTTACATCTAGTTGGTTTGTGAAGTTGTTAATATCTTCTATTTTCTTATTGATCTTCTATTTATATGTTCTATCCATTGTTGAGACTGGTAATTTATAAAGAAAAGGGTTTTAATTGGCTCATGGTTCTGCAGGCTATACAAGCATGTTGCTGGCATCTGCTCAGCTTCTGGAGAGGCCTCAGGGAGCTTTTACTCATTGCAGAAGTCAAAGTGGGAACAGGCCCATCACATGGTAAGAGCCAGGAGCAAGAAAGAGGGTGAGAGGGATGATGACATACACATTTTTAAACAACCAGATCTGGCAATAACTCATTCACTGTCTTGAGGACAACACCAAGGGGATGGTGCTAAACCATTCTTGAGAAATCCTCTTCTGTGATCCAGTCACATCCCACCAGCCCCCGCCCCCCAACATTGGGGATTACTTTTCAACGTGACATTTGTGGGGACAAGCTATGAAACTATGTCAGACTATTATTTTAGAATGGTTTTTTCCTGCATTCATGTCTATTTTTGCTTCTTACATTTTGGGTCTGTGTTAGATGCATACATTTTTATAGTCATTATATTTTCTTAATGGATTGAGCCTTTTATCAATTAATATGCAGTGTCCTTTTTTGCCTCTTTTGACAGTTTTTTATTTAAAGTCTGTTTTGTCTCCTGTTAATGTAGCCACTTCAGCTCCCTTTTGCATGGAATATCTTTTTCCCTCCATTACTTTTAACCTGTGGATGAAGGTCAAGTAACCTTTTAACCTGTTTGTGGATCTTAGGCGAGTCTCCATAGACAGATACAGTTGAATCATTTTTTATTGCATTCTACTCATCTCAGCTTTTTAATTGGTGAGTTTAATCTATTTAAATGTAAAGTGAATACTGATAAGAAAAGACTTCTGTCATCTTCCTGTTTTCTATGTCATATATTTCCTTTTTATTCCTCAGATAATACATTATTGCTTTCTTTTGTGCTTAGTTTTTTACCCTAGTATGCTATTTTGATTCCTTCTTTTCCTTTTCTGTATATTTTTTAGTCATTTTCTTATTAATTAAATGGAGTTACAGTTAACATTCTAAATTGATAACAATCTAGGTTGAATTGATACCACTTTAGTTTGAGTAGCTTTCAAAAACCTGCTTCTGTTTACATTTATCTGAATAGTTACCTTTACTGATACTCCTTTTTCTTCTTCATGTGGCTTTGAGTTAAGACAGTTTGATTATGGCATGTGATTATGATATGTCTTCATGTGGAGTTTTTGGAGTTTTTCATAGTTGGCATTCAGCTTCTTGGATGTGTGGATTTATATATTTTACCAGATTTGGAAAGATTTGGCCATTATTTCTTCAAATAGTCTTTTTGCCCCTTTCTCTCCTTCTGGAATTCCTGTAATCTGTGTGTTGATCTGGTTTGATGCCACAGTTTCCTTAGTCTCTGTTCACTTTTTCATTCTTTTTCTTTCTGTTCCTCACACTTGATCATTTCATTTGTCCTATCTTCAAGTTCACTGATTTTTTTCCTCTGCCTATTCAGATCTGCTGTTGAAGCTTTCTAGAGAAATTTTAACTTCAGCTATTGTACTTCTCAGTGCTAGACTTTCTATTTGGTTTTATTTTTGATCTCTTTCATGATATTTTTTCTTTGTTAAGACATCGTCTTCCGGGTACTTTGTCTGTAGTGTTCGTTTGCTTTTTGAACACATTTAAAAGAGTTTAAGGTTTTGTTGAGTAAATCTAATGTCTTGGTTTCCTCAGTGGTGGTTTCTGTCATTTTCTATGTTCCCTGTGAATGGCCTATACTTTCTTGCTTCTTTACATGCTTTGTAATTTTTTGTTGTAAACTGGACATTGTTTTAAAGCAGCTGTATCCTTCTAAGAGGGACATTTTGGATATTACAGTGTTGTAACTCTGGAAATCAGATTCTTCCTCTTTTACCCAGGGCTTGCTGTTGTTGCTTGTTGTGGGCTGTGATAGTGACTTTTCCAAACTATTTTTGCAAAGTCTGTATTCATTGTCATTGTATTCACTGAAATCTCCATTTCATTATCTCAGCCAGTGACAGAGATTTCCTTAAATGCCAAATTTTTGTAGCCTCTTTCTTCATTAAACACTCCCTGCTTGTTACTAGTTTTTTATTAGGTTCCAGAGTTCTCACAAAGTTGCTCTGTTAGTTTTTGTCAACTCAGCATTTGCTTCAGTGGAGGTATGATTTCTTTGAGTTCCCTACTCTGCCATTTTTGACAACATCTGCTGGATTCTTTTTTATGGAACATGATTTCTAAATTAACAGTTATTTAATGAAGGCAGATTTTTAAACAAATATATAGTGATGTTTATTCCGTAAAGTTATCTTTATTCTTATTAGTTCTGAAGTGATTATGTGGCATTATGTAAAGCCTAAGCATCTTAATTTAGAAGCAGAAATAATTACTTTTATAACTCTTCCAATATTTTCCCCACTTGTATCTCAGAATTTAAACAGGTGAGAATTTGTCATTTTAGAACTACTGTGAAATAGTGTCATTTATAAAAAGAGTAGGTCCATCAGAAACAGCAAGAGAAAATGCAGCGCACTTATTCTGCTTCTCTCTTTCTGATATAATTTTAAAGCAGGTTTTCTGAGCCTTAGCAGTTGACAAATAATTCTTTTTGTGGGGATTATCCTAAACTTAAGGATGTTTAGTGGCATCCCATGACTGTACTCATTAGGTGCCAGTAACACTTTTTTTCCGTTAATGAGAACCAGAATATGTACCCAGACATTGCTGAATGCCCTCCAGCAGGCGAAAGTGTCTCTGATTGAGATCACTCTTTTAACATAAAATTTATGCTAAGACCATACTTAACTTATGTATTTCCCAAGGGCGGCAACCTTTTGTGTTTTCCCCTCATTTTACAAATATTAGAAAGCTAGCCTTGTCTAATCAGACAGTTCTGTTGGCCATTCAGGAAAGTGGAATGGTGGAAAAGCTCTAATCTCACTCTTGTGTTACTATTAGTTAGTACTATGGCTTCATTCGGCTAAATGTGTTGTTTTGTTCCCTAAATATTAATTTACTGTGTCTCAGATGGCACAACAAGAGGTATTTCTTGCCTGAAATACCCAGATGATTGAAAAGAAAATTGATTCCTTTTCCCTAAAAGAACATGAGGTTGTTGCACCTAAAATAATTTTTTAGTATTTTGATGATCATAATTCAGGGATGTTTTACTATACTACAGTATCTTTAAGCTAAAAAATAAATTTTCTTAAACTTTTATTTTCTTAGAGTTTATTTTTAGATATACCTCTTCTAACATTCAAGCCCCAGAAGTAGATGTTAGTAGTATTAGTTTTATATGGTATTTTCTCCTATATTATGAATATTTAAACATTGTCACATATGGTTTTATATTAAGTATATGTAAGACTTGGTCCATATCAAATTTATAATTCTTGAAGATGTCATGTCTGTTTTTTGTATTACTGCCCTTTTTTTATTAACAATGATATCATAAATACCTTACTGCATTAATCTTAATCACTTGATTCTAGAGGTAGCTAGTCTGAAAATACAATTCCAAATCCGTTGCTCCTGTGGCTTAATCTTATGGAGATACTGGGGTGGGAGGGAGGAGTATTGATCATCTGGATTCTGAGTGAGTAAAAATATTTCAGTACCAAATTATTATGTCCAGGAAGCTAAGAAGTAACCTTAATTTCTAGTTTATTATAAAGCAGATTAACCAAAAAATACTATATTTAAAGATAAACAATTTTTTCGAGTACGGTTTGTTATGTTTTAGTTTCTAAAAAGTTTTTTCTGTAGTCCTGAATGCTTTTGTGTATTTTATACCTTGGTACATTCTAAAACAAACCTTAATAATGCTTGATTTGTAATAGTCAAGTTAAACCCAAAGTATAGATAATTATAGGTGACTTTGAAGATAATTGTTTCATAGAATTACATAATGATCAATTATCAGTTGATTTTTAATCCTGGTAAAGCTTAGTATAATAGGATTCAAGCCAGGTAGAATTTGTAGTTTGTAAGCTTTTATAAGAGAGAAACCATCAGTAGTTGGTATGGAATCTGCTTCACTTTACTTGTATTTTAAGTTTGAAATGAGCAACTAATTTTGTTTCTGTTTTTAGCTGTAGCGCCAGTTGTACCTGATTTAAGTAGTGACATTGATACTAGTAATTTTGATGACTTGGAAGAAGATAAAGGAGAGGAAGAAACATTCCCTATTCCTAAAGCTTTTGTTGGCAATCAACTACCTTTTGTAGGATTTACATATTATAGCAATCGTAGGTAAGTATGCTAAACAGTGATTGTAGGAGTAAGTGCCGATTTTGTTCTTAGAAATGTCTAAAATTCATTTTTAAAGTAGATTTAATGGTATATAAAGATATACCTTATGCAATTTTTCATTGATGCATGATATCTCCAGTATTTCATATTTAATTTATTTTGGACTCATCCATGTTTAGGACATTGTTTTTCAAAATTTTTTTGCTAAATAATATACTATATATCCTCAAGTTACAACAATTAATAGGTCAAAGGATGCTATAAATACTGATATTTTGATCTGTAGACTTATGGTTTATAATACATTTTGAAACAACATGTAGACTTTTTTTTTTTTTTTTTTTTGGAGATGGAGTCTTGCTCTGTCACCCAAGCTGGAGTACAGTGGCACAATCTTGGCTCACTGCAACCTCCACCTCCTGGGTCCAAGCAATTCTCCTGCCTCAGCTTCCCGAGTAGCTGAGATTACAGGTGCTCACCACCACACCCAGCTAATTTTTGTATTTTTAGTAGAGATGGGGTTTCACCATGTTGGCCAGGCTGGTCTTGAACTCTTGACCTCATGATCTGCCCGCATTGGCCTCCCAAAGTGCCGCGATTACAGGCATGACCCACCGTGCCTGGCCAGCATGTAAACTTTTCTAGCATTGTCATCACCATATTGATGCTATCAATTTTTAGCTCTTCAAAAATTAAGTAATTCCTCCCCAAACCCATTTAATTTACCATGTGTTATAACATGTAGTATTATCTCCACTGTGACCTTGGACAAATAACTTTGGCCTTTTATGCCTCCATTTCCTCAAAAATAGGGATGATGTTAATAACAATAATACTACTTGCCTACTTACCTCACAGGATTGTTGTAAAGTGCCAAGACCAGCGGTGCTAGAGGAATTAAAGACACACACCCAGAAATATAGAGGTGTGAAGTGGGGAATCTGGGGTCTCACAGCCTTCAGAGCTGACAGCCCCGAACAGAGATTTACCCACATATTTATTAACAGCAAACCAGTCATTAGCATTGTTTCTATAGATATTAAATTAACTAAAAGTATCCCTTATGGGAAACAAGGGATGGGCGGAATTAAATGAATAGGTTGGGCTAGTTAACTGCAGCGGGAACACACCCTTAAGACACAGTTCTCTCATGCTAATTGTTTGTGGCTTAAGAATGCCTTTAAGCGGTTTTCGGCCCTGGGCGGGCCAGGTGTTCCTTGCCCTCATTCCTGTAAACCCACAATCTTCCAGCTTGGGCGTTAGGGCCATTAAGAACATGTTATAGTGCTGCAGAGATTTTGTTTATGGCCAGTTTTTGGGGGCCTTGCTCCCAACGGTAAGGTTTAAGTAAATTAAAACACAGCACAGCATTTAGAAGAGTGCTTTGCATGGTGTAAGCACTCAGTGTAACTATTATTATCATTGGTATGAGTTCATGTTAGCTTTACTATAATGTACTTGAGATTTAAGTTAAACATTTAACATTATTTTAATGTGCTGAGCATTTGTTCATTCCACAGATATCTTTGATAACTTATTATTTGTCAGGTATATACTAAGCACCAAATTGCATGGAGAAGGATAAATAAGATACAGTACCTTCTCTTGAGAGGCTCACATTTGGTGAGAAATGGATAAATTGTACATCGTAGGTTGATAAGAACGACATAGTAGAAATCTCGGTCAGGCACGGTGGCTCATGCCTGTAATCCCAGCAGTTTGGGAGGCCGAGGTGGGCGGGTCACTTGAGGTCAAGAGTTCGTGACTAACCTGGCCAACATGGTGAAACACCGTCTCTACTAAAAATACAAAAATTAGCCAGGCGTGGTGGCACATGCCAGTAATCCCAGCTACTTGGGAGACTGAGGCAGGAGAATTGCTTGAACCTGGGGGACGGAGGTTGCAGTGAGCCAAGATCATGCCACTGCATTCCAGCCTGGGCAATGGAGTGAGACTGTCTCAAAAAAAAAAAAAAAAGGACAGGAAGTGGAAGTGAAGGAGGAATCTAAACCAAAGTGCATACCAATATAATGCATTGAACTATATGATAACACTTACTGGGTGGGTTAATCCTGCTTATTACCTCAAAAATATGTACTTTCTAATCAAATTATACTCTTTGGAATGGTATCAGATAACGATTTGCTTGGATAAAATTATTACTTTGAGGTCTTTATAACTAATCTTATTTTAAATGTGAAGGTCTTGTCATTTTAGTATTAGAGCCATTCGGGTTAGCTCAGAATCAAAAGACAAATTTAGTCTGGCTTTTGAAACCTCTCGAGTAATTCACTGTAAGTATGTACTTAATCTTTTTGTTGCATCATCAGGTGAGATAACTGGGCACTTACCCTTTTTTCCTCCTAATACTCCATGAGTATAGGATTTTAACTATTTTCAATTACAATACATTATACAGGAAGAGCTTCAGGGTGATTTTTGACTGAACGCATTCGTTTTTTTTTTGTTTTTTCTGGAACAGAGTTTGCTCCTTGTTGCCCAGGTTGGAGGCAATGATGCAATCTGGCTTACTGCGACAACCTCCGTTTCTGGGTTCAAGCCCTCTCCTGCTCGGCCACTGCCCGAGTAGCTGGGAATTACCAGGCATGCACCACCACTCCCGGTGATATTTCGGCGTTTTTGAGTGAGACAGGGTTCTACCACGTGGTCAGCTGGTCTCGAACTCTGGACCTCAGGTAATCTGCTCTGCCTTGGCTCCCAAAAGTGTGGTTACAGGCCTGACCCACCATGCCCAGCCTGCTGAAGCATTCTTTAACTTTTTGTATTCTTATCAATTATTCTTTGATTTGGTTTCTGAAACACTCAAGTTGTTGATATAAACAACCTCCAATGTTTTTGTATTTTCTGTAGTAGAGTCCAGCAGTTAATAACTTTAAGTTTCTCTGTATAATGGTAACCTTGAGTTACATAAACATTTATTCTACTATTTGTCCTACATTATCATGCACTCGATTATGTTCTCTAGTTTTTCTTCGTATTCATGTTTTATGGCCCAAACTAATTTTTAAGTTTCTTAAAAGTAGAAATTATTACTGGTTTTTTTTCCCCCCCCCGCAAGACGGAGTCTCGCTGTCTTCCAGGCTGGAGTGCAGTGGCGTGATCTCAGCTCACTGCAAGCTCCACCTCCCGGGTTCACACCATTCTCCTGCCTCAGCCTCCCGAGTGGCTGGGACTACAGGCACCCACCACCACGCCCAGCTAATTTTTTTTTTTTTTTTTTTTTTGTAGTTTCAGTAGAGACGGGGTTTCACCGTGTTAGCCAGGATGGTCTCGATCTCCTGACCTTGTGATCTGCCCGCCTCGGCCTCCCAAAGTGCTGGGATTACAGGTGTGAGCCACCGCACCCGGCCATATGTACTGTGTTCTTAACTGTCATAGCCCATTGACAAATATATGTAGTATTTTTTAAGTAATTACTACATGAATAGGCAAAGGTATGGTTGCTCTTAATAAGAAAGAACCAACAAAATATATATATATTTTTGAAACAGAGTCTCACTCTGTCGCCGAGGCTGGAGTGCGGTGGTGTGATCTTGGCTCACTGCAATCTCCGCCTCCTGGATTCACGTGATTCTTGTGCCTCAGCCTCTGAGTAGCTGGGATTTCAGATGCCTACCACCACGCCTGACTAATCTTTGTATTTTTATTAGAGATGGGGTTTCACCATGTTGGCCAGGCTGGTCTCAAACCCCTGGCCTCAAGTGATCCACCCACCTTGGCCTCCCAAAGTAATCCCATCGGATTACATGTGTTAGCCACTGCACCTGGCCCTGGCAGAAATATTGATTAGCCTTATCGTAATACGTAAGCATAATTTAGAATATACAGATATGAAATAGAAAACCTCTGAAATTCTTATCCCTGAAATCCAAATATACTTTTAATACCAAGGGCAGAAATAATTGTTGCTTAATTACAGCTGAATTAAACCTGATTTTTAAAATAGCCTTAAGCTATATTCCTAATATAGTAACTCCTATTTCTTAAAAAGTTACCTAAATGACCAGATTCTATGTAAAAGCATCGATATAATATGCAAACGTACCTTGATAGAAAATGACGGAAGGTGGACGAATTAATGTATACAAGTGATGTCCTTACATTTCCCTTGCTGCATTCAAGCTTTTATTACTAATTTTGCAAAAGACTAAAATGTCAGTCTTAGTTACATAGCTTGTTAAGTTTAGAAAATATCTTAGAGACGAAACAGTCTCATCTAATTTAGATTTCACTGGCATTGCTATATGCCTTATTTATATTACATAAGCAGAATCTCACATTGAATTTCTGAGATGCTTAATAGTCAATGGAATTAAATTGCACTACATCCAGAATTTGTCAATTGTTATATGGGACTTTTCCTCTGTAAAACTGCTACATAGCCCCTATTATTGTCTTAAAGTTGTCTGAATCTCCATTTGATCTGAATAATTTTTCAAGGAAAACCTAGGAAGTGGCATATTTCTAGCTGTTTCTTTTATAGTGCCATTATACTGTGTATTTTTATTGATATGTAATGGATTGTGTTATTCACTGATTTTTAAAATTTACTTAAATTATTCTTTTGGAACATTATTAATATCTGGTGTGTTAACAGATGCCTCCAATAGCTATGAAGCATACGATAACTATTTGATCTCCTTTTGCGAGAGCTCTACTGGTTAATTGGGGTGCTGACTGTAGTGGTGGTGATGGTAGAAGTAGTGATTATAGTAGTTGTAGCCATAGTAATTGTAGCATAGCATGGTGGTGGTAGTAGCAACACTAGCGGCACTAGTACCTTACCTTTATATAATATTTGGTAGCTTAGGAAATTGTTTACATATATGATCTATTTAGATTGAGAATCTTGTGAGACATCTAAAAAAGACCTTTAAATTAGTTCACTAATAGCTTTATTTATTTACAATTCTAACTGTACACTGAATTTAAAGAACTCTGCAAGCCGGGAGTCCCAAAAGATTAGCAGCATCACCTAAACTTTGGTGCTGTTATTTCACCCACTTAGGCAAACATTTTTTGGACCTGAAGAGGCAATATTATGCTTTGCTGAAGGATAGTTGGGTGCAAGAGAGGTGATTGTGCATATGTCTGCAGAAGTCAGCAATTTCTTACCCCCAATTCTTATATACAAAAAGCTCTGAAAACTGAATGTTTTTGAGTTACTTGTTTGGTAGAAAAAACTGTCATAACCTGCTGTCATGACCAGAAAGCCTAATCTGAACTAACTTGAGACTTTGTTTTTTATTTATCTTGCTTGGTATGAATATTCTTATGTTTTGCTACAAGAATATTAAGTCATATGTTTACAGGCTGCTACTATTTTTAGACCTAACTGGGTGTTTTATTTAATATATGTATCATTTCTGAATTATGTTTATAAAAATTATGAACCTATGCTTAATTTTTAAAAACAGAGCTACTATAACATTGAACATAAAATAGGCATGTAGTATTTATTATTGGTTGTTACGGGATATTAAAGAGTTTTGTTTTGTTTTCTTTTTAAACTTTTCTTTCCCTCAGATACTTATCTTCAGCAAATCCTAATGATAACAGGACTAGCTCCAATGCAGATAAAAGCTTGGTAGGTATTTTCTTAATATTAAGAAAATTGTTTTTAAAATTGTTTTGTGGGTAATATATTTGTGTGTATGATAGTAAATTTATGTATTGTTTGTGAAGCTGTAGTTAGCTGAACTTAGATTTTTATGGCACTTTTATCTCCCGTCTCCTTTTCGGTCTGATTTTTTGCTCAAACATCAAATGAAATAATATATTTGGAGGCAGTTAGTAAACTAAATTGTTACACAGATTAACAGAGGTCATCTTTTTTAATCTTTGGAATCGGGAACTATGATATATCAATGTGTCATTAAGGGTCTTGACAGGCAAACAGATTACATGTTCAAAAGATTTAAACGAGAGTTTTGTGTGTATGGTAAATATACATAACATGAAATTTACCATATTGATCATTTTTAAGTGTGCAGTTCAGTGGCATTAAGCACCTTCACATGGTTGTGCAGCCATCACCGCCATCCATCTCAAGAACCTTTTCATCATCCCAAACTAAAAATCTATGCCAATTAAACAATAACTCCTAATTTCACCCTCCCCCCAGGTCCTAGTAGCCACTATTCTACATTCTGTCTCAATGAATTTGCCTATTCTAGGCACCTTATATGAATGGAATCATACAGTATTTATCCATATGTGACTGACTTCTTTCATGTAGCATACTGTCTTCAAGATTCATCTATATTAATAGTATGTATTCAGATTTCCTTCATGTTTAAGGTTGAGTAATATTCCATTGTGTACATATATATACATACACACACACACACATATATATACACACGCACACCATATTTTGTGCATTTATTAAGTGAAGAGTTTAATGAAGGGATGATTAACAAGCTGTGAACATCAGTAGAGGGAAACAATAAAGTATATTAAAGCACCCATGTATGAACAAGAGTGGGAAGCCATTGCCCTGTACTAAAGGAGCAACGAGAGAAAACCTTATTGTAGCTCAGAGAAAGCCTGACATCATAGAAAAGGAATATAAAACATAGAACATTGCAAGAACCACAGTGAAGCACAAACGGTGTAGGGAGAATGAATATTTCTTTTTTTTACCTTCAGATTTCTGCTGGTGTCTCCTGTGGGTTGAAACCAACCTTAAAATCATAGGGCTACAGAGTAATACAGGCAATGCAGTCTGTAGATTTTAAGGGAAAGAAGAGCAGAGGATGAATTTTCAAGGTTAGAAGGGAATGGGGGAAATGGAGAATAACCAGTATAGTCAGCGTCATCTTAATTTGTCCACTGAGAGGTAAATTACTCTCAAAAATAAATTTTAGTTGAGTTCTTTGTGTTGTTCATATAGCTCATATTCTGAGACGGAGGTAAAACAAAATCTTACTTGCTTACATTTCAGAAGGTCCTTTTAAATTTTAATCCCAGTAGAGCTGTTTGGCAAGTTATGTATTGCTAACCAGGGCTCAAAAATCTTTGACCTAGGTAATAATAAGGAGTTGCTGTAAGTCAGCTCTCACTGTATTACTTGACTGTAGAGTTAGAAGTGCCTTCGGCCTTCAAAAATAAGGATTCATGTTTTCTTTGGGCGGGTTTTGTTCAGTGGTGATTACCGTAAGTTTGTCAGTGGTTGCTACCTTTATCTTTTGCTCTAATAATATCAAGGGGGAAATACTAATTATTTTAACCTAGAACTAAGTACAAAATCAACTAATTTAATTTTCCCTGAAAAGCTTTTAGCAGAGATGCTAATGAACAACTTTGCAATTGCCAAATACAGTGGATGATTTTCAACCCGTGTCTTATTTTTTTTCTTTGCTGTAGTTGACACTGACTACTTCCTTCTTCTTTGGAACTTCAGACTTTTCTAACTCTTTTATGTTCCGATTGTTTCCCTTTTTTTTACCTCCCATATTTTTGAGTTTTATTTATTTTTCAATCCCCTTTTCAGGATCTTCCTTCTCTGCTTACTTTCAATTATTAAACGTTTCCCAAAGTTCTGATCTTGGCTCTCTGCTCTTTCTCTGTAGGTAATCTCATTCATGTCCAGCTTGCTCGTCTGAGCTCCAGCCCTGAATCTTTCTGTCTCTTCTGTATACTTCTCAGGCGTATCAAACTAGGCCAGAGCTAAACTCATTGTTTTCCTGTCCCCATTCCCTCCCTAGCAATGTGTTGACTGTCTTTCATAATGGTATATCTGTTCTAACTTCAATTGGTTTGGTCATACGTTATGCTTTCTGATTGATACCTTTATCCATTACTTCCTCTTCATTCCTATAGACTCTGCCTTTTATCAGATCCATATTCTCTTGTCTGAACTCTTTTGATAGCTTTTTAACTGGTTGCTCTTCTTAGAACTTCACTGCCCTCTAAGCTGTTCATTCACCTTATTATTGTAGTGATGTTTCTGAGGTGCCAGCATTATGTCATTTCTCATTTAAAATGTTTATGGGTTAAAGTCCCTAACTCCAGTTTGTGCATGCAAGGATCATTACCTTCTTAGACTTAAAGTGAGTTGTTTTTCCTGTTACATTCTGTGCTCTGCTATAGTACTTGATTTCTTTCCATTTCCCAAATGTATCGTATTTTCTTCTGCCTTTCTACGTTTGGGCTCATTGTTCATTCTAGCTAAAATGCCTTCCTTGTACCACCTTCTTTGCTTTATCAGATTATCAGTTCCTCTTACCTTTTTAGGCCTCAACTTAAGGATTATATATTCTTGGCAGAGTTAGAAGTGACCTTTTCTTTCCTTCGGAATACTCTGTAGATAATTTTATTATTGTTTACCAAAGTCTGTTGTAATATTTTGTGTATATTTATTTGAGACATTGTAGGTTCTTTTTTCTCTTCCAATTTAACTTTGCCTCACTATGTAACTATTTGCTTCATGAGAACAGGAACCAAATCTTTTTAATTTTTGTATTTCTAATGGCCTAACATTTAGTAGATGTTAAGAAAATGCTTGTTAAATTGATAATAAAAAAATTGAGGTAGAAAAGAGGTAAGATTAAATTATTTTCTAAAAAGGTTTAAAATATTAACATAGACTTGATATTTTAAATGTCTAAATATTCTTAGTAGAATGAATTTTTGTTTTTGTTTTAAATTAAAGCAGGAAAGTTTGCAGAAAACAATCTATAAGCTGGAAGAACAGCTGCATAATGAAATACAGTTAAAAGATGAAATGGAGCAGAAGTGCAGGTGAGAATATACTTGAAGTTTTTCATATTAAAAGTTTTACATACCAAATACTTACTTGAAAGCTTATACCCTGCAAACATCTGAAAGTAGATAGAAAATGAGGGTGTAAAGATTACTACTGATAATACATTCATGATGTGTCTTGGCTAGAATTGAGAAGTTCTACTTAATGTTGGCTTAGTTATAGATGTATTTTCCTCAGAATTTGTTCCTGGCAGTCTGTATTCTTTTTTTTTTTTTTTTTTTTTGAGGCGGAGTCTCGCTCTGTCACCCAGGCTGAGTGCAGTGGCCGGATCTCGGCTCACTGCAAGCTCCGCCTCCCGGGTTTACGCCATTCTCCTGCCTCAGCCTTCCGAGTAGCTGGGACTACAGGCGCCCGCCACCTCGCCTGGCTAGTTTTTTGTATTTTTAGTAGAGACGGGGTTTCACCATGTTAGCCAGGATGGTCTCGATCTCCTGACCTTGTGATCCACCTGCCTTGTCTTCCCAAAGTGCTGGGATTACAGGTGTGAGCCAACGCGCCTGGCCAACAGTCTGTATTCTTAAAAAACTATAATGCTAATTCATTTAGTTGCCGGATTTACTGCTTTTTTCTCGTTACATAATTAGCTAACTAAAAAGGCAAATTAGGCTGGGCATGGTGGATCACTTGAGGGCATGAGTTCAAGACCAACCAGGCCAGCATGGCGAAACTGCATCTCTACTGAAAATACAGACAATTGGCTAGGCACAGTGGTGTACACCTGTAGTCCCCACTGCTTGGGAGGCTGAGGCATGAGAATTGCTTGAACCCAGGAGGGAGAGGTTGCAGTGAGCCGAGATCACGCCATTGCACTCCAGCCTGGGCAACAGAGCAAGACTCTGTCTCAAAAAGAAAAATAAATAAAGGGGAAATTAGTTTACATTAAATAAGGTGCTTTTTGAAATGTAAAATGTTGAAGATTAAAATATACTAAATTTTTGATGTGGCCATTCTAATTTCCACTGTGGTTCTCTGGAGCAGTAACTCAGAGTATTTTTTTCTGCGGGTCTAATTTCAGCATGTTATTGGCATTAGACCCACAGAAAAAATATCTTTGAGTTATGCTCAAGATTAATTTAAATAACCTATCTTAATACTGAATTACTTATCAATTATAAGCAATACTTTTTTATAATTATTTATGTTTTTAGTGAATAGTATTGAATAAATGAAATGCAAAGGTAACACAAAAAGTATTCAACAAATAAAATTGGGAACGCTGGTAATTTTGTGACAGAGCAGGTGGGGGGTTTGGTACGAAACAGGTAAAATTCTCACTTTAACCATTCCTTTTTTTTTTTTTTTTTTTATGAGGCGGATTCTCCCTCTGTCACCCAGGCTAGGCAGTGGCCGGATCTTGGCTCACTGCACAGCTCCGCCCTCCCGGTTTGTACGCCATTCCCTGCCTCAGCTTCCCGAGAGTGGGATACAGGTCGCCCGCCACTCGCTGGCCTACGTTCTTATTGTCATTGTTTAGTAGAGACCGGGTTCACCGTGTTAGCCAGGATGGTCCTCGATCTACTGACTTGTGATCCGGCCGTCCGGCCTCCCAAAAGTGCTGGATTACAGGTCTTGGAGCCACCGGCGCCCCACCAACCATTCTTTAGAGATTATATGTAAGTGTGTAAACGAACTTTTTTTTTTCTTTTCCTTCTTTTTTTTGAAGGAAGTCTTGCTCGTCAACCCAGGCGGAGTGCATGGCACGACTCGCTCACTGCAAGCTCGCTCCCGGGTTCACACCATTCTCCTGACTCGCTCACCATAATAAGCCTGGGGACTACAGGCTGCCCGCTACTACGCCCGCTAATTTTTTTTTTTGTGTAATTTAAGTATGAGATGGGTTTTCCCCTGTTTAGCCAGCGATGAGTCTTGATCTCCTGACCTTCGTGATCGCCCCGTCTCTGGTCCCAAAAGTCTGGATTACAGCGTGAGCCCACCCGTGCACGGCCAGATACAAACTTTTTTTTAAAACAGTGTTTGAATATAAGCAAATAATTAAACTGATCCCAGATTTGAAAGAATTCTAAATATAAACGATAATGAAAATAAGGGAAGAACTGGGTAGATACTGTTAATATATAATGTTGAGAAGTCTCTACATCCAATTTTTTTTTTTTTGAGACAACGTCTCACTCTTGTCCCCTAGACTGCAGCGATGCGCGCCGTATACTCGCTCACCTGAACCACCTCTGCGTTCCCAGTGTGTCTCAAGCACATTCTTCTGCCTAGCCCCCGCCCAGTAGCTGGATTACAAGCCACCAACGCCCGGCTAGTTTTGGTATTTTTAGTAAGACGGGATTTCACAATGTTGGCCAGGCCGTCTCAAACTCCTGACCTCAGGTGATCCACCCGCCTCCGGCCTACCAAAGTGTTGGGATTACAGGCATGAGCCCACACTCCCTGGCCCCCAAAAAATTTTAAACAAATTAAAAGACAAGTAACAAACTGGGTAATAATGGTGAGTAGGGATCAGTTTGAGGAAGTAATAAGAATGGCTGAAGTGCTAATAATCTGTGAAAATGTATCACTCAGGAAATAAAATTGAGATGAAATTTTAAAAAGTATGTATTGAATTGGTAATAGTTTAAAATAAAAACGCTAGTGCTACAGGGATTGTGGGAGTGATATTTACTTGCATTTCTTTAAATCAAATTCTCTGCGTTCAAATCATTTTAGTTACATTCATTTGTTCAATAAAAATTTCAGTTAAAGTGTCAAGATAATGTGCTTGTCAACAATATAGTACTGAATAAGTCAAGACATGGCCCCTCTCCACAAGGAGCTTGTAATTTAGCAAGAAAAATAAGTAATTATCAAGAAGTGTGGTATGTATTAATTGGGGAGAGAATAAAATTATACAGGAATATCAGGAATACATCAGGAGAGGCCTGTACTGTTTTGTCAGATCAGAGAAAGCTAAAACCAGAAGAGTCAATGGAAATTATTAGGAGAAGAGTGGAAGGAAGTGTTAGGGTCCAGGAGGTGAGTATCTGTGAAGGCCGTGAGGTAAGAGACCTTGACTGGCCTGTAAGATGCGAGGGAAGGAAAAGCCTGAGATGAGAGTGGGGAGGATGGCAAGGTCTAGATTGGGGAAGATTCTTTTTTTTTTCTCTTTTTTGGGGGCGGGGGGGACTAAGAAATTTGGAATTTACTTTAAGTGTGATGGAAAAACACCAAAAGTCATTAAACTAATAAGTAAAAAATATATATTAAATTTGCTGTTTCAAAAGAAGTTCCTGCTTCATTAGCAGCATTTGGGACTTTATTCAACTAAGTGGGAGTGAGGGAAGATGAGTCAAGGATAATTCCTAGGTGATGTCATTTACTTAGGGACTCTAGAAGAGAAGCAAATTGGTATTGGGGTGGGAGTGTGGAACGGAGGCAGTAAGTTCCATTTTGGAGATGCTGAATGAGGTTTTTGATGAGACATCCATGTGAAAATGTTGCATATATAGGTTTTGAAGCTCAGAATTACATTTTGAACCAAAGAAAGCAAATTGTAATGAAGATAATACACTGAGTGTTGACAAATGGTGTCTTAATTGATTTGATATATGCTACCTTTCTCTTCATTTACTTTATCCTGTATTAAAGGATAAATGGCTGATTTTTGAGTAGTGGCAAGTATTGCATGATGAAGTTTAGGGATCCTTAACCTGAGATCCATAGACCTCCCCCAAAGAGTCCATGGATGAAATTTGAAGTCTTTAAACTTGGATGAGAAAAGGTGAATGTTTTCTCTAACTTGTAACTTAATTTTAGCACTTGTTTTCAATTCTGAGCATAGGCAGCAATTCAGTTATTAGCAGTAGTTGTTAATTTTTATTACCAATAGAAATTATAGATGTTTTCTTATTACAGTTGTTACAGCTATCTGTAAATATCATTTATGCTCATCAGTACTTTGAAATTACTGCCACTAGATCTTGTGATTTAATATATTAATAAAGAAGCATATATACTACTGAATTATACATGCTTTTTAAAAGTTTATTACTGTATTTCAATATAATTGGCTCCGTTTTTTTTTGTTTGTTTGGAGATGGACTCTCTATCACCCAGGCTAGAGTGCAGTAGCACGATCTTGGCTCACTGCAACCTCCGCCTCCCAGGTTCAAGCAATTCTCCTGCCTTGGCCTCCCAGGTAGCTGGGATTACAGGCGCCTGCCACCATGCCTGGCTAATTTTTTAAGATTTTATTTTTAATGGAGTTGGGGTTTCATCATGTTGGCCAAGCTTGTCTCGAACTCCTGACCTCAGATGATCCAGCCGCCTCGGCCTCCCAAAGTGCTGGGATTACATACGTGAGCCACTGCACCTGGCCTAATTGTCTTTTAATCATATATAATTTTTGTGCTTCAAAAAATGTTTTGAAAAAAGGCCATAGGCTTCACTTGACTGCCAAGAGATCCATGGCACCAAAAAAGGATACAAAACTCTAGTTAAGTGGAAAAGTAAGGAATGTGAATGTTTAATACTGGGCAATAGGAAATAAATATATTTCTAATCTGTATTGCTTTTGTTTTTACAGAACCTCAAACATAAAACTAGACAAGATAATGAAAGAATTGGATGAAGAGGTACTTTTTGTTTTCTAATCAGAAGTTTCCTTTTTGAGATTTTTCTCTCTTTCAAATTGTTTCGTTTCCAGAGAAAATTATATTTAAACTCTATAGTTTGAAACACAAAACAAAGCCAGAGAATCGTGATGAGAGCCTTACCTTGGAACTGCAGTTTCAAGTGGTACAGATTAGATTATAGTTTAATTTCCTTTGTACAATTGTATTCTACAGCCATATTGAAATTTTAGTATGTAAATTTCAGTTCAGTGGTTCTTGATGGTTGAAATGTGAGAAAGGAGCCAGAGAAGCAAGCTATCAGAAATTGAATCTCAAACTGTATCAGAAAGAGACAGGCAAATAAGGAAAAGAGAGAAACACAGTTTAAAATATTTTTAAAAGATTAACACTGACATAATCTCATGTAATCAAATGGAAAATATATTGATTTTAGAATGTTCATCTTTTCCATGGTTACCTGTCAAAATTTTTTTATTATCAGAGAAACAATAACAAGCATTCATAATTCAGATGTTTGTTTGCAAATATGTAATACATTTCCATTCCTCTTAGTCATGTGTCTATGAGTCCCATGAAAAGAAATACACTCTCTATAGTCTTCTCCTAATATATTATTTTGTCCTTTTTTAGGTTTAATCTCTGATAGTTTTTATGCTGTGTTAATTTTTTCTTCCCTTATAGAATGGTATCTATCAATGGCTTGCTTTCTTTCGTGGGTGGCTTTGGATATCCATGTAATCATCTATGAAGATTTAGATAGCATTTTACTAACTTGCCTTTGTATTTAGCCTTAGCAGTATATATTTGACTCTGAATGTTTAAGGAGTCTTTTTTTGCATATCTTCCACTTACATTTAACTTTTAAAACACAGATAAAATTCAGATGTGCTAGATTTAAGTTATTCATTTTTCCAAATTAGAAGTAGAGAGGGACATTTGCGGTATGAAATTAAAATAGTCTCACTTCTAGAAAGATGGAGTAAAAGTACCTTTCCGTATTCCTCCCAGTAAATACAGCTAAAAACCCTAAACATTAAATATAAAGCAAACATAAAAAGATTTTGAAAGGTGGAAAGAAGGCAAACCAGCCTAGGTTACTTGTGTCCTGAGAAACAACACATGAATGAACCTTCAGGGTTTTCGTTTTGCTGCGTGTATCTTAGACAGGGTGCCGGAGAAGCCAGCAACCTCGAAATATCAACAATTGCAGACAAAGCTCCAAAAAAGGCTAATTTCCTTAGCCTAAAGACCAGAAAAGGAGCAGGCTAGCAAATCAGAAAACTTATACTGTCCCTGCTTTTTTCAGCCAAACACCACAGAAAAACGGTAGCCCTATTCTTAACAGCAAAGGCTGAGTGGGAAGTCTAGATTTCCATCTCCACTATGCTGTAGCACACCCCAACTTCCAATTAGAATAGTGTCAGAGAAGGCCCAGTAAACGAATTTTCATCTCCCGTGGGCAGTAACAAACCTTCCTTCTCTCCCCAGACAGCATAGCAGTGACCATGTGGGGAATCTACACTTACACTCCCAGCTGGCAGTAATGGAGTGCCCCTCCCACTGCCTTCTGGGTTGTTTTCAAAAGAGGCATGGTAGGGATTAGAACTTTCAACTGAAAATAACAAGCTCCCCTCCACAATGCAGTGTCATCTGTGGGGGCCACATGAGGAGCAGCTATGGTGCACTCGATGGAGGCCTGGTAGAGCGCCAGAACTCCTGCTTCCACGCAGCAATGATAAGGATCTTCTCCCCTCCCCACCTGAGGTGTCAGTAGAGGCTGAGTGGAAAACCTGGACTTCTCCAAACTCCACCTGGCGGAAAAGAGGCAGCACCCCCTTAGTTTCACCAGAACAGTGTCAGAGGAGACCTTCTAAAAGAGATTTTAAATAAGATCCAGAATGTTGTAAGATAATGTCCAGGTTTGAATAGAAAACTACTCATCATAATCAGAACTAGGAAAATTTTAACTGGAATGAGAAACAATAATAAACTAATATCAACGCTCAGACGACACAGATGTTAGAATTATCTGACAAGGATTTAAAGGAATCATCATAAATATGTTTCAGTGAGCAACTATAAACATATAAACAAGCAAAAAAAATAGTCTCAGAAAGACATAGACAGTATAAAATAGAGCCAACCAAAAATTGCAATAACTGAAATAAAAGTCTCAATAGATGGTGTCAGCAGCAGAGTGAACAATGCAGAGGAACGAATCAGAGACCTTCAACAAAGAAAAATAGAAATTATGCAGTCTGAACAATAGAGAGAAAATGGTCAGAAAAAAAGTGGCAGAGCCTCTGGGACCTGTAGAACTGTAACAATAAAGTTCTCACATTCATGTCACTCGAATTACTAAAGGAGAGGAGACGGGGGTGGGAAGAAATGATAATGGAAAATTCAACAAATTTGACAAAAGACCTGAACTGACTAACAGAAGACATAAACCACCAAGAAGCTTAACGAACCACAAAAAGTGTAAACCCAAAGATATCCACACCAAGACACAATAGCCAGATTTCTGAAAATTAATGACAAAAAAGAAATCTTAAATACAGGACACACCTTACCTAGAAAGGAAAGAACAATGTAAGTGACAGCTGATTTCTTACCAGAAACCATGGAGGCCAGGAGGAAGTGGCATGATTTTTTCAGGTGCTAAAAAAACAAACAAACCTATCAACTCAGAATTCTGTGTTCAATTAAAATATCCTTTTCAAATGAAAAAGAAAATGACAACATTCTCAGATGAGGAAAAACTAAGATAGTGTGTCACCAGCACACCTTCCCTAAAGGAATTGCTAAAAAAAATTCTCTAAACAGAAAGGAAATGATAAAAGAAGGCATCTTGGCCAGGAGGGGTGGCGCACATCTGTAATCCCAACACTTTGGGAGGCTGAGGCGAGCAGATCACTTGAGACCAGAAGTTCAAGACCAGCCTGGCCAGCATGGCGAAACCCCATCTTAAAATACAAAAAAAATTAGCCAAGTGTGGTAGCGCATGCTTGTAATCCTAGCTACTCAGGAGGCTGAGGCTAGAGAATTGCTTGAACCTGGGAGGTGGAGGTTGGAGTGAGCCAAGATCGCACCACTGTACTACAGCCTGGGTGACACAGCAAGACTGTCTCCAAAAGTAAAAGGAGGAATTTTGAATTACTAGGAATAAAGAAAGAGTAAAATATGGGTAAATACATTTTTTTCTCCTCTTGATTTTTTTTATAATAGGCAGTTGAAGCAGAAATTATATTGTCTAATATGATTCTCTGTGTATGAGAAAAAATATTTTAGACATTATAAACAGAGAATAATGGGTCATAAAGAAAGGTAAAGTTTTTAGGTCGAGTGTGGTGGCTCATGTCTGTAATCCCGGCGGATTGCTTGAGCCCAGGAGTTCAAGACTAACCTGAGCAACGAGGTGAAACCCCATCTCTACAAAAAATACAAAAATTAGCCAGGTGTGGTAGTGCACGCCTGTAGTCGCAGCTACTAGGGAGGCAGAGGTGGGAGGAGCACTTGAGTCCAGGAAGTTGAGGCTGCAGTGAGCCATAAGCATACCACTGTAGTCCAGCGTGGGTGACAGAGTGAAACCCTTTCTCAAAAGTAAATAAGATAAAAATTTAAAAAAGAAAGGGGACGTTTTTATACTTTAACTGGTAAGATGCCAATACCAGTAGAGTGTACTATATATTAAGGTATGCATATACAATGTAATATCTATGGCAGCCACTGAAAGGCCTTACAAGGAGATACATTCAAAAACACCGTAGGTAAATCAAAAGGAATGCTAAAATAATGTTTAGGTAACCACAGAAAGACAGGAAAGAAAATGTAGAAATAACAGAGATCAAACAAAAATGGCAGATTTAACCCTAACATACTACCAATAATGACATTAAATGGAAAGTAAATGGAATACCAATCAAAAGAGGTGGTAGGCATAGATTTTTTTAAATCCCCCATTTATGTATCTGTCAGAAACTCTTCAAATATAACAATATAGGGAAGTTGAATATCAGAAGATGTAAAGAGATAACATACAAATATTAAAAAGAAAGCAGCACTATTGGCAATGTTAATACCTTAACGTAGACTTCAGAGCAAAGAAAATTACCATGAGCATAGGGGAGTATTACATAATGATAAGAGTTAAGCCACCAAAAATAAATAAAAATCCTAACTGTACACTAGACAAAAGAGCTACAAAATATGTGAAGCAAAAGTTAATAAAACTGAAAGGAGAAATAGACCAATCCATAATTATTGTTGGAGACTTCAACACCCCTAAGAATTACCAAACATTGGAGAACTCAACCACACTGTCAGCCATCAGAATTTGTTCAACATTTACAGAACTCTCTGCTTAACAGCAGAATATGCCTTCTTTTCAAGTGCTTAAGGAACACACACCAGGGTAGACTACATGCCAAGCTATAAAACAAACACATTTGAAAGCACTGAAATCATACAGAGAGTTTCCTGACCAAAATGTACAGATGAGAATAACAGAAAAATCTGCAAACACATGGACAGCAAACAACAAACTTCCAAATAATCCAGAGGTCAAAGAAGTCTCAGTGAAAAAAATACATTGGAATGTTAATTATGTCTCATAAAACTGTTATGGCTCTTCATCTTTAAAAAATGTTTAAACAATGAAGTGAAAATACATCATCAGAATTTGTGAGATGCTGTTAACATAGTGATGAAGGTTAATTTATAGCACTAAATGCCTACCTTAGGAAAGAGGAGAAGTCTGAAATCAATAATTTAAACTCCTACTTCTGGAAACGAGAATAAGAAGAGTGAAATAAACCCAAAACAAACAAAAGGAAGGACAGGTAACAATAAGAGCAGAGAACAATGCAGTTAAAAGCAGGAAAACAATAGAGAAAAACAGTGAAACAAAAAACTGTGTGAAAAGATCAACAAAATTAACCTCTAGCAAGACTGATAAAGGAAAAAGAGAGGACACAAATTACCAGTATGAGGAATGAAATAGGGCTAGGGCATATACTATAGACCATATAGGTATCAAAAGAATCATAAGGAAATACTATGAACAGTTCTAAACACAATTAAGACATTTAGATGAAAGGGACTAACTTCTCAAAAAACAAACTACCACAACTCATACAGTGTGAAATAGGTAATTTCAGTAGCCCTATATAAGTGTTAAGGAAAGTGAATCCATACTTTTAAAACTTTTTAGATAATATGGATGACAAATATCATGTGAAAAGAGGTTCACGTAATTAGTCATTTGGGAAGTGCAAATTAAAATTACCATAAAATATTACTCCATAACTATGGAAAAGCAGTAAGTTTTAAAATTATGTCAATAACGAACTGGCAAGGATATGGAGAAACTAGATCACTTGGACATTGCAGGTGGGGATATGAAATGGTACAGACATTCTGGAAAACCAATTGACTGTGTTCCTGAAAAACTAAACATGTACCTACTATGTGACCTAGCAATTGTATTCTTGGGCATTTATTCCAGAAAAATGAAAATTTATACTCTCACCAAAACCTGTACACTAATGTTTATAATAGCTGTATTTGTAATAGCCGAAAACTGAAAACAATCAAAATGTTCTACAGTAGGTGAATGGTTGAACAAACTTTGGTACATTTGTACCATAGAATACTCAGCCACAAGAACGAATGAACTGTAGATACATACAATACATAGATGGATTTTAAGGACTTTATGTTGAGTTAAAAAAAAAAAAAAAAAACCTGTCTTGGCTGGGCACGGTGGCTCGGGCCTGTAATCCTAGCACTTTGGGATGCCGAGGCAGGCAGATCGCGAGATCAGGAAGTTGAGACCATCCTGGCCAACATGGTGAAATCCCATCTCTACTAAAAATACAAAAAAAAAAAAAAACTGTCTCAAAAAGTCATATATTGCATGGTTCCATTTATATAACATTCTCAAAAAGACAAAATTATAGAAATGGAGAACCATTAGTTGCCAGGAGTATGGGTGGTGGGAGAACAGGGATGGATGTAGCTATAACTAGTGACTGGAAAGAGATTGTTGTGATGACCAGTTCTGTATCTTCATTGTGGTGGTGCTTACTTGAACCTACATATGTGATAAAATGACAGAACTATACACACCTTATACCAGTGAGAATTTTCTGATTTTGTTATTGTACTATTGTTATATGTAACGTAACTACTGGGGGAAGCTGAGTGGAAGGGCACTTGGGATCTCTCTGTACTATCTTTGCAACTTTCTTTGAATGTATAATTATCTAAAAATTAAAGTTAGAATGATGAACTCTTAGAATCAGAAAGACCTTGAATAATTTATGTCCAATTTTTGCTTAAAGATGAGAAAGCCCAGAAACACTATAAAAAAGTTTTCCTAATGTGGAGTCTTAAAAAGTGAAGCATCAAAAACAAGATTTACTGGTAGTGGTAACTGAGAAAGGTACACTTTTAAGTTGTGAAAATGTGGGTATTTTAGGCTGGGTATGGTGGCTCATGCCTGTAATCCCAGCACTTTGGGAGGCTGAGGCAGGTGGATCACTTGAGATCAAGAGTTCAAGACCAGTCTGGCCAACATGGCAAAACCTGTCTCTACCAAAAATAGAAAAATTAGCCAGACACAGTGGTGCATCCCTGTAGTCCCAGCTACTTGGGAGACTGAGGCACGAGAATCACTTGAACCCTGGAGGCGGAGGTTGCAGTGAGGCAAGATTGCGCTGCTGCACTGCAGCCTGGGCAACAGAGTGAGAATCTGTCTCAAAAAAAATAAAAAAAGAATAGACAAAACAAATTGGTATTTTAATCCTCCTCTCTCCGGTAGTTTCTTTTACTAAAATAACAATTTCCTTGATTGCTTTTTAATACACATTGGTGGGTAGATACCTAGAACATCTTAGAAAGATAAGCAAGTTGTTGTTGACAGAGATAGGATTAAGGGAGACATCGAGGAAATGGTGAACTCACTGCACATTCTGTACCATCTGGTAATGCTTGAGCTTTTCATCACTTTATTATCAGATGATCCTTTCATGTTTCATTCCTTAAATTTGGGATTGTTATGCCAAAATATTGGTAACACAATATGATTGTCTTAAACTTAGAGAGTGGCTTTCAGTCTGAAAAGATTCACAGGGTTGTATTTTAAATTTTTGGAGCCAGAAGTCTCTGAAAATTTTACCTATCAAATTCAAGTAAGCAGAGTCTCACTGTCTTCTTAAAAGGCAAGCTACTTAGAAAGTTGTATTAGGAGATACTATTTGCTTTTGAAGCAGAACATTATCTTAGGTGTTTGTCTGTTTTTTTTTTTTTCTTGTTTTTTTTGTTTTTAAAAACAAAATACTCTCTTGAATGAATGACGAGAGTATTAATCACAATGGTAACTTTTATCATTATAATTTCAGGGAAATCAAAGAAGAAATCTAGAATCTACAGTGTCTCAGATTGAGAAGGAGAAAATGTTGCTACAGCATAGAATTAATGAGTACCAAAGAAAAGCTGAACAGGAAAATGAGAAGAGAAGAAATGTAGAAAATGAAGGTGAATTGTCACTACTTTTGAAAAATGATAAAATTTCTAACATTGTCATGAGGTTGTCTTTAATTTAGTATCCATGATACGTACATAAAGCTACAGTCTTAAGACACTTTATAAGCTAAATAACCCAGATCTCAAGTTAAATTTATAACATATTAAAGTAAATAGTAAGTAGTGTTTAACTAGAGTAGTGATTGTCATCATGGTGTGCATACTGGAATCTCCTGGGAAGCTTTAAAGAGTACTGATGCCTAAATCCCAGCGATTCTAATTTAATTGGTCTAGATATGTGGCCTGAGTATCATTATTTTTTACAAGCCCCCTAGGTACTTCTAACAAGCAGCTGCATCTAAGAACTGCTAAACTAGGATTTCTTGTGTTTTAATGCCTATTACAAATATATTTAAAATACCTTTCTACACCCATTGATGCAGTGATTTCACTTCCATAAGTTATTTTACATACATACTCATACTGCAAACTGATATATACACAAGGCTATTCATTGTAGCATTGCTTAAAATGACAAAAAAAAATGCAATCAATGCTTATATGAAACATAATGTAACACATATATGAAACATAAAGATAATCAATGCTGTAATAAATTTTAGTACATCTATATGGTAGAATACTATGCAGCTTATAAAAAAAATCATCTCCTTAAATACTGGTATGAAACAATCTCTAAGATATATCTTTAAGTGACAAAAACAAAGTACAGATTGCTTGTGTTTAAAACAACAGTACTTGTCTATATATGCTTAAATTAAATATATATTAGGGAGGAGAGTCAGTTAAGGGAGACTCACAAGGAGCAAAAATGACTAAATGGAGAAAGGAAGCCTTATACTATCTACCATTTGATACCTGTTAAATTTTGTATTAAGATATTGAATTATCAAGCAATTGATCTATTGAAAAATAATATTAAAACTAGCTTTATAATTACACTAACAGAGTGATCTTATAAAGGGAATAAAGGAGTTGGAGTTTGAGATTTACAATAGTGAGAAGAAATCTGTTTTTGCACTCTGTATTATAAAATGATGTTCTACTTTTTAATGAATGTAAAATGCAAGTACTTCCAAATTGGAATTTGGCTTTGGGAGTGGACCTAATGTAGCTGACTGTTATGGCCTAAGACTAAATGTCATTTTTTAAAAAAGGATTTATATGTTTCCACTATGAAAATTTTGTAATTTCTATATATTATTCTTTCATTTTCTAGTTTCTACATTAAAGGATCAGTTGGAAGACTTAAAGAAAGTAAGTCAGAATTCACAACTTGCTAATGAGAAGCTGTCCCAGTTACAAAAGCAGGTAAGTGTTTCAAATGAGGTTCCTTTTTTTAAAAAAATGTAGATAATTAAATTGTATTGTACTTTGGTCAGAAACCTATTTTCTTTCTTTCTTTTTTAAATAGCTAGAAGAAGCCAATGACTTACTTAGGACAGAATCAGACACAGCTGTAAGACTGAGGAAGAGTCACACAGAAATGAGCAAGTCAATTAGTCAGTTAGAGTCCCTGAACAGAGAGTTGCAAGAGAGAAATCGAATTTTAGAGAATTCTAAGTCACAAACAGACAAAGATTATTACCAGCTGCAAGCTATATTGGAAGCTGAACGAAGAGACAGAGGTCATGATTCTGAGATGATCGGAGACCTTCAAGGTAATATTTTTTTTTATTGTGGTAAAATATGCATAACATGAAATTTATTATAACATTTTAACCATTTTTATGTATACAGTTCAGTGGGATTAAATACAGTTCACAGTGTATGCAACTGTCATCATATAAGTGGAATCATACAGTGTTTGTCCTTTTGCATCTGGCTTTTTTACTTAGCACAGTGTCTTCAAGGTTTATCCATGTTGTGTGTGTCAGATTTTCCTTCCTTTTTAGGGCTCAGTAATATTCCATGGTATGTGTATACCACATTTTGTTCATCCACTCATCTATCAATGGAAGGAATATTTTGTAATTTTTATTTTTAATTGTCAAAAAATATATAACATAAAATTTACCATCTTGACCTTTTTTAAGTCTAAGTTAATATATTTATGATCATATTACCCTCATAAAGAAAATGACTTTGGTGAAACCAGAAATGGTTGCATTCTTTTTTATTTACATTTTTTTGAGATGAGAACTTGCTCTGTTGCCCAGGCTGGAGTGCAGTGGCATGATCACAGCTCACTGCATCCTTGAACTCCGGAGGTCAAGCAGTTCTCCCACCTCAATTTCCTGAGTAGCTGGGACTACAGGTGCATGCCACCATGCTCAGCTAATTTTTTCATTTTTTGTAGAGACGGAGTTTCACCATTTTGCCCAGGCTGGTCTCAAACTCCTGGACTCAAGCGAAACACCTACTTCAACCTCCCAAAGTGCTAGCATTATGGGTGTGACACACCACACCAGGCCAGCGTTCTTTCTCTTTTAGGATAATGCCTACATTTGTATCACGTTGTAATTTCTTCACCCTCACGGGTACTCCTGCGGGGTAGGTAATGTGGATATTTTTCAGTTTTACAGGTAAATTAACCAAAAACTTCATTTGAAAACTTGCCTAATTCATAAAGGTTTTACTCAAAGTGAGACTAATCCAGGCAAAGAGGATTATCACTATTAAAACCTAGGAATTCCTCATGCATTGTTGGTAGTAATAGAAATTCAATTGCAGAAATAGAATCCCATTACACATTAAAAGTTATATACTTGGGAACGTTTGAACTGGAGATACTGATAAGTCTTCGTGAATCTGAGAGGCAAAAGATTGAGTATAACTAACAGTGAATAAATGAACAGTTTTTAAATAGTAATAAAATTCAGTTTGTTTTCAAAAAGATTCCTGGCTTTACGTACTCACATATTTTTCTTTTTTCTATTCCTGTTAGCAGCAGCATCCATACTACCTAATCAAAACAAACATGCGTGGAAGTTGCCAGATCTCTCAGGAAAAAATTGGAGGGAGGAGTTCATTTTAACCTTAGTTAGAGTTGGGAACATAGTTTTGGGTCCCTTGGGGCTTGATGATTAGCTATAATTCAGTGGAGAGAGGTCAGGGTCAGCTTTTGTGACTAAGGAAACAGAAAATATGATCTCCTGTTGGTTCTTAGCTGAGGAGTGTTGTGCAATCATATTTCTCAGGGACCAGGCTTAAAATAGATCTGAATATAACTAAGAAAGTAACCACTTTATATGTAATAGGAAAGTTACAGACTTCCTTACATTGTTTTCCTAGGCCTTTTTATACAGCTTATTAGCTGTTTGAAAGTCTCTTCATCTCCCTTCTTTGTCTGTAAACCAAGGAGATAAGAATAGGTTACCTCTAATAAATCTTTCCAATTCTGAAATTCTTGTAAGTTTGTGATCTGTGTTTGACTGAGCTTTGAGCTCCTTGCTTCAGAGGCAGAGATCATCCATGTACTATCAACAGTGATTTTAAACTGTATCTATTTTTTAGATATCAGTTAAAGTTAAGGAAAATTTGTAGCATGATTTATTGTTTGTTTATCCTTTTTCAGTGTTTCCTTTGTTTAGTTTGGAACTTAAATGTGAATAAAAGCTCACATACACTAAAATAATGCACACAACTTATGTGAGTTTCAACATACATATAAAAGGGCATTGTGGTTTTTTAAACAAATCACAATGTTTATATTACTCTTTTCTGGTCTTTGAGAACTTTCGGGCTTCTCAAGTATAAATTTAGTTTGGGATGATGGGCTTCTGGCAGAGTCTTGATTGTTATTCATTAATGGAGTGTCCTCCATATATGACCTCTGTTGAATAGTCTTTTTTATTTTTTACTTTTTATAACCCTTTAAAGTATAAAAACTATTCTTAGCTTGAGGTCTGTACAGAAACAGGCTGCAGCCCTGACATTTGCCAGTGCCTGGACTAGTGAAACAATAAGGCTGCGATTGATTACAGGGAAAGTTTCCAAAAGTTCAGGCTATAGAGGCTTAATGAAAGTGATCAAAATGTTATGGAGAATTGAAAATTTTAACTGAATTGATAAGCTCTCATATAGTAAGTTTATCTGTGATTCTTCAGATTGAATGGCAAGAAACAATTTTTTTTAATTAACCATTTTTAAAAGTCTTTTTTTTTTTTGTATTGTTTGCACCAGAAGTGCTTCAGATTTTGGATTTTGGGCGGTTTGTGAGAATATCTGCATTATGAGTATCCCAAATCTGAAATCCTTGAATGTCATGTCAGTGGTCAAAAAGTTTCAGAATTTGGAGCATTTGGGATTTTTGGATTTTCCGATTAAGGATGCGTAACCTGTCCTGTAGTGACCTCTTGTGTACTCATCATTTAGCTTCAAAAATCTTCATTTGGTAGCCAGTCGTATTTCATTTTATACCTCTACCTCCCCTTCCCAATCCTCTGACACTGAATTATTTTGAAGCACGTATCAGGCACCATGTTGTCCTTTTGTAAATACATCCTAATTTGTAAATATTTCATTATCTTAGGGACTCTTTTTTAGAAAGACAAACATAACTACAATGTCATTATCAAAGGTAGAAAATAGGTGACAGTTATTTAATATTATAAAATATCTAATTACTCCTTAAATTCCTCTAGTAGTCTCATAATTTGTTGTTATTACTGCATTTATTTTGCCTGAATTTGGATCCAAAGTTTGGACATTGCATTTCATTAATAACGTCCCTTAAGTTTATTTTAATCTGTATTTTCCTCCTCCCTTTTATGTTCTTTGTAATCTCTTTTTGCTACTGTTTTTGGTTAAAGAAACCAGGGTTTTTTTGGTCCTGTGAGTGGCTCCCATTCAGAATTTTACTGATTTCATCTGCTGGTATCATTTAGCATGTTGCTGTGTCTGCGATAGTACTTTAAACCAGATGTTAGATCTAGAGATGTGATCTACTTCGGGTAGGACTTTGTCAAGAATACTTGTAAGTAGTAGTATTTAGGTACCAGGAGATACATAAACATAAAATCTGGGCTGGGCACAGTGGCTCATACCTGTAAAACCAACACTTGTGGGAGACTGAGGTGGGTGGATCTCTTGAGCCCTGGAGTTTGAGACCAACCTGAACAACATGACGAAACCCCATCTCTACAAAAAATACAAAAATTAGCCAGGTATGGTGGCACGCACCTGTAGTCCTAGCTACTTAGGAGGCTCAGGTGGAGGATTGCTTGAGCCCAGGAGACGGAGGTTGCAGTGAGCCGAAATCGTGCCACTGTACTTCAGCCTGGGCAACAGAGAGAGACCCTGTCTCAAAAACAACAACAAACAAACAAATGTAAAAACTTAAAGTCTGGCTGTATCTTTTTGTGGTGTTAGTAGCCTTTGATGATATCATTGCCTAGGACCTTTGTTTCCTTAGGAATTTGCGGTGGTGATCATCTGTTTTTATCCTTCTTCATTTGTTAATTGGCATACTACTCTAGAGATAAACATTTCTTCATCAATTATATAGTAGTTACTTTGAGGTACAGCTTATAAAAGAAAGTCAGGTTAAATACTTAATTATTTGTCAGTTTTTGAACAGTGAGTTATTTCCCAGGCATCCTCCAAAGATGATTAGTGAATTTTTAAAATGTATCTATGAACTCATGAATTTTAATATATTTAATATATATTAGCCCTTTGCATTTTTCTTAATGATGCTCACTTGAAGTTTAGTAGGAATTCTTTAAGTTTAGACACTACCCTAGTAGTTTTGGATAGCATCCTTGCTTTTTGATATGCATAGATTTTCCAGGATTATTTTTTGGCCCAGACCTGGAATCACCCATTTGCCTGGGAACTCCAGTTCCTTTTGTAGCATATGACATTCAGGGTCTGTAACCTGAATTCTATGGGTACTCACTACTGTTGGGTTGGTCAATATTAGTGGGTCGTTTTAATGGACAGAGGTAGGAAACAATTTTTTTGTAATTAATGATTTCTTATTTATTGTGATCAGGAACGATTAAAATATTTTTGTCTCTTCTGTCAAATTTTAAAATGTGTTTTAAAAGTTTTCACTATCATTGTGAGTTTTTTTCTCATAGCCTCCCGTGTATTTCTTTTTTCTTTTTTCTTTTTTTTTTTTTTTTGAGACGGAGCCTCACTCTGTCGCCCAGGCTAGAGTGCAGTGGCATGATCTCAGCTCATTGCAACCTGCGCTTCCCGGGTTCAAGTGATTCTCCTGCCTCAGCCTCCCAAGTAGAAGTATCTGGGACTACAGGCGTGCGCCACTATGCCCAGCTAATTTTTGTATTTTTAGTAGAGGCAGGGTTTCTGACCTTTTGTGTCAGACTTCTTTCACTTAGCATAATGTTTTACAGGTTCATCCATATTGTAGCATGTGTCAGTAGTTCATTCATTTATGGCTGAGTAATATTCTGTTATATGTATATACCACATTTTGCTTAGCCATTCATCTGTTGATGGGCCTGTGGATTGATTCCACCTTTTGGCTTGTTTGAATAGCACTGCTTCAACATTTGTGTACAAGTATTTGTTGGAGTACCTGTTTTTAATTCTTTAGGGGTGTATATTTAGGAGTGGAATTTCTGAGTCTTCTGGTAATTCTATGTGTAACTTTGGAGGAATTTCCAAAGTGTTTTCCACAATGGCTGCACCATTTTACATTCCTGTCAACAATGTACAGGATTCCAGTTTCTCCATATCCCTGCCCACACTT